AAAGACACCGGTTTATCCAATTACCCCAGCAATTATTTTACCGGGGATCACAGAATGAAAGCTGTTTGTATAAACTTTTGTAACAGAGAACTGCAGGAACACATCGACGTTTTGAACTGATCCATCAGCGCGTTAAACCGAATTCGAAGTTGAGTGAGTCCCAATGAGTTTTGACGGAAGCTGCAATGTGATCGAGTGTACGCGGTTGGATGCCATCTAATCGATGGTGCAACTAGGCCGTGCTGATTGGATGTTCTGATCTGCCGTTCTGCTACGCGTTTTCACAGGATAACATTTTACGCGTGTTTCAGGAGGGGTAGGCATGCACGTTCGCATATAAACGTCACAAATATGTATCATATTCGACATCCATGTCTGTCTGTTCTTCGCATGTAACGAGTGGGGAGTTGAACTAATATCTATCGATAGTTTTACAAAATTTGGTTAAAATCGGACAAGAATAGAGGAGAAATTTTACATGATTGCGTACATGTATTCCTGCTCGATAAAGCGACTGTGTGGGGAATCCCCAGCCAGACGCGCCCTCACAACCACATGGGGAATCCCCCGTAATGACGTAATCACTTATCCATCCTACTCAAACGTCTGGCCGTAACAGATTGGTACGTATAATTAACAAAACTACTTATAAGAGAGTATGAGCCAGAATAGCTCAGTCAGTATAGTGACTAGCTACGGGCTGGACGACCGGGGTTCGATCCCCGACGGGGGCAGAGGATTTTTCCTCTAGCCTCTGCGTCCAGACCGGCTCTGGGGCCCACCCAGCCTCCTCTACAATGGGTACCGGGGTCCTTTCCCGGGGGTAAAGCCGGCCGGGGCGTGATGCTGACCACACCCCCATCTAGTGCCGAGGTCAAGGAAGAGAGGAGCTATACCTCCACTCACCCCAAACGCCTACATGGCGTACAGTGGGACAAACTTTACTTTACTTTTTACTTATAAGAGAGTAAGAAAGTTTTCAATAATTTAATGTCTACAAGTAGTTAATAGAACCAACACATCTGAATTGTGACTGTATGGATAAATGTCCCAGCTTGCTTCCAGAAACAGAATGTGGTAAGGAAAGCATTATTTACATTTAAGACTGATTTGTAACAAACTGTGCAATGTTATTTATATGAAACTGAAATAGGTCAGTTATATCATCATAAGGAAAATGATAAACACCCTTATTAAGATCGCTGTTACCATTCGCTCTTCACAAGCTGTCATTTTTAACTGTGCGACAAAACTACAATTGCATTTTCGTCGTTACTTCAGTAATCTCAACGAAACCAACTGTTTCCTTTTTAACTATAGTTTCAAAGCTACAGAAAACATCTTCACTTTGACCCAAATTCAGGGAATTTTTTTCTGAGTTTCGACCTTTCAAAAATCTTTTCTTGGTTCGAAGTCTTAAGCTTGCCAATTATGCCAAAAAAAACAACTGATATAGACGTTCTCGAGCTATAAACGAACATACATACCCACAAACAATTCCATTTGTATGTAAGCCGAGTAAAATGATTGATTAATTAGCTTAACTCCGCTGATTATTGGGGGGCTATAAACACGCCAAGCGAATCAGACTGAAACTACACCCTCTCCTCTCACCCCCAGGTACAAAGCCTCGTGTGAATTATTTGGATTTACATCACGTGACGTTTTAAGGGACGCATTCCGCATCTGACATATGGATAACGTATTCTGTAAAAGAACTATCCATAAAATCATGTTACTGTAATTTATGCTCTAACATATCCGCTCGGAGACACTTCACTACTTATTTAACATAAGAAGCAATATTACTGCCAGGTGTTTGAACCTGGGTTTCTGCGTTGAAAATCCGGCATCCAACTGCAATGAACCACTGCTCCGGCCTTGTTATATAACCGTTTCACATGCTGGGTTTGTATCAAAGATTAATTATTTCAAAATGAGTGTTTCTATATGAATTACGTGTTCAACTGTTGAAGACTCAGTGCGTCTTTTGAATTTCCGAAAGATCATCGGGGCTCATGAGAATTCTGGGGTGTTGCTAGCAGAAATTACTTCTGAAATGTAAGCAAACTTTGTCATACTACGCGGTGAAACATCTCAGAATACATTATTTTCACACTCGCTGCAGTGAGAACAAGGAATCTTACTTTATTGGTGTAGTTGAGTTTCTTGGAATCTGTAAATGACGTTGTTCTAAATGTTCTTTATGATATACGAGGTGCGATCGGAAAGTTTCCAGACTGCGCGTATAAAAAAACCTGCACACTTATCTCAGGTATTAAATTCATCCATCACCCTCGAAGTAGTTCCCCTGGGAGTGAACACAACGATCCCAGCGCCGCTGCCAAGCCTGGAAGCATCCCTGGAAATCTTTCTTTGTCAGCCTGTCAAGCACCATCTGCGATTCTGCCTGAATCTCTTCTATCGTCTCAAATCTCCATCCCTTTAGCTGAATTTTCATCTTTGAGAAGAGGAAGTAACATTTTCGGGCGTTGTGCTCGAAGATGGTCGTCCAGCACGCTCGTCATCATCGACAGAGGTTTGGCCATTTTTAAAACGTGAATGCCACACAAAAGTTTGTGCACGACCCATTGCGGACTCCCCAAATGCTTGCTTTAGCATTTCATAGGTTTCCGTAGCCGTTTTGGCGAGTCTTTGGCAAAATTTGATGCACACGCCATTCCGAAATCGCAGGAGGGTCGGTGTAATGCACTACGAAAACGCCCGTAACTAAGAAACAAATGCTAATTCGATGATGCCGGCTGGCACACTGATTCACTATGAATGTAGGCCGCACCCCCTAGCGGCAGAAGCTCGTACTACATCCGGTTCGCCCCCTCTATTGCGACAGTCTTGAAACTTTCCGATCGCACCTCGAATCTCAAAGTGAAAGGCACATCCGTTCTGTTCCACTCTTTCTACGTATTGTCTGTCTCACCTATGCATTATTCTTGATTCTCGAAGCGTTCTATTTACCGTGAAGATGAAATTCCCATGTATCTGAATAGCGTGTTTGCGTGCGGTGGACCAACCCGGTCTGTCTCTTGTAGGGAGGATTTCTGGGTGTAGTCGTAGTTGGAGGGACTATTCAGAGTCATAAAAACTGCGTGTTTTGCTCGTTCGAGTGTGGGAACGTGTCGGCGAACAGTAGCCGAGCCCCAAGCGAGGCCTAGAGACCTGCTCAAACGAGCTCTACTGCTCAATTTAATGCCCTTCTCCCCCCCCCCCCCCCCCCCCCCCCCCCCCGGTTTATGTATTACTGTTGATTGTGTTCGATTGTATTGTAAACCTCGCGAACATTTCTGCCTCTGTCAGAATAAATGCCTTCTTCCTGACTACACGTTTGCATACCGACCATCCGAAATGTACTTACTGACTGAGTAATAAGTTCACTGCTTATGTAGATAACAACCTAACAGGTCACTTAGTGGGATGTTTACTGACGTTTTAGAGATACAGGGTGCCTCCTTCATCAGAAACTAAGGTAGCAAGAACTTCTGAAACGTCGGTAAGCTTAAAAGTTTGTGAAACGTAAATATTACTTTAAATTATATTCATTTGTATGTTTTGTGCGTGATGAATGATTTCTTTCGGATTCATTAAATGTTTTAAGTCTAGTTATGTGTAAGCGTGTTATTATATCTAGGTATGTGGAATTTCTTTGTTAATTCGAATATTACTTATTTTTATTTTGAATTTGAGGATTTTAAGTGGATTCAGAAGTGGTACATACTGCGAAACTGAGACCAATTGTCTTAAACCTTGGAATCCAAAGATCATACACTTCATACCTCAAAGAAAACACATCGCTTTGCCATTACAAAGATAAACTGCTTAGGAAATAATGACTGTTTATTCCAAGAGTTATATAAACACATTTTTTTGGTACACTGTGGGCAAAATGCAGGTTCATTTAACGTTAAAATAGGTGGTGTATTTACAGGTGTTCCAAGAAGACGTTCGTACATCAGAAAAATTGTTGGTCAGTCAGTCAAATGTGGCACGAAGCTGACGGTGGTCAATGTTGGCGTATGTGAAGGATTTGGTTTATACATTGCGAGTTTACACTGAAATTACAATATTACAAATATTCATATGTTATAATTAAAATAAATTATGTTTGAATTACGTAGCATGTTATAACACTGCACTGTATTAATTCTTAAATATAAAATGGGGCGAAGTTGACGTAATTTTTGTGTTAACTACAGCGCCAAACGTGTTGCATGTTTGTTCCTTACATACGTACCTTTGTATCGACAGGGTTTCCTGGCTCCACAGCGCACAGGACAACAAACCAAGAAGCAATTGAAACACTTAATTACCGTTTCGTGGTAACATGCGAGAGGCTGACGTGTGATTGCGGATAATTTCATCTCTCGCCTTTGTAGATCCGTGTCGAAAGAGGTTATTATTTTCTGGGAAAGACTAGATGTCATGACATGTCATGGAGAAACTGCATTCTGACGAAGATTTCCTATGCATCTTTGAGGCGTAGTTTTAAGAATTTTTGTTAAGCCGGCATTATTTGTTCATGAACTGAAAAAAGAAATACTATAATAAGCCTCTGCCCCGAAATAATTTTCAATTATTTGACAGGATTCCACAGCATGAAACGCTATGCCAGATTTGCGTGTCAATTCAGGTTCTCGAGGCTTTGAGTATTAAAATAGCTTTCTTCTATGTTTCTGCGCTGTATAATCTGGAAGATATTTACAGACGTTTCAGAGTCTCTCGTTGCCTTTATCATCCTGATGAAAGAGACGGCAACGCTTCCGGAAAGTCGGTAAACTACGAGACTACACGACACAAAATCCCTGTAGATTTGCTGTCGTGAGATCCCGAAATCTTAACAGGTGTTTCGTGGTTTTACCTAATTTTCTCGAGGCGTGTTCTGTGTGTCTTGTATGTAGTCGAGTAAGCGTCGTTACATAAACAACGAAACAGACATTTATCTGACCTGAATGGCTACTAACGTGATTTTTCATTTTACATTCCAGGATAACAGCCCGGGTCAGGAAATTCTGGACACTGTTTTCCGCCACCTGAACCTTCTGGAAACAGCGTACTTCGGGCTCCGGTACCTGGATTCTTCCAGCCAGACGGTAAGTTGCCTTCGAATTTCCAGGTGTGTCACATATACCCTTTGTCTTCTCAGGTAAGCGGGCAGCGACTCCAAAAATGCCCTTCGTCCTAGTCACTTGATTCCGCGAGAGATTTTAAAGGGCTCGTCTGATTCCGTCAGGACTCCATAAGCAATTACATTTAACATCGCATCCCAGCCCCAAAATAAACTATTTAAATTGTAATTATGGCCAAAAGAGCCGTAGAAAACAACGTTGAGTAGGCCTGCTTTGGAAATGTAAACAATTTAATTTCAGCCACACAAATTATAAACAACAGATTAAGTTTTTAAATTAGTTTATATGTACTAAAAATTATAAATGTGCAGAATTATGGAATGTTCCTCTTGAAGAAGATACCAAATTTTAGGTAGGAAATTATCTTAAGTAAATTAATCTACTTCTACCGCGTTTGAATATTAACCACTCTGGGCTAATGTGCTGTGAATCCTCTTGGACATTTTGTGAATCCGCCCATCTCAAGAAATTTATTTATACAAGTACCACAACACAAATAGACTCAGAGATACAGCCATGTCTTAAGTGGGACTAGAACTCAGGACACCCGTGTCCAGAGCCCAAAAACCGCCCCTGGTCTCACTATCAGAAATATTTTTCTTTCAACTGTATTAATTGTTTATTTTAACCGTCTAATCACAATAAAATATTTTATTAAATATTAAAATATTAAAATATTATTACTATAATTAACATTTAATATTTAAAATATATATAAAATATACTGTATTAATGTTAAACCGATGCAAAAATTGTAAGTAGAGAATAGGAAAGTCATTTATATCAAATATTCTTTGTGTAATCTCTTTGGAACGAAGTCCACCAGCAGAGGATAAATCCTTGGTTAGAGTTTATCGCATTGCGGAAGATAATTTTTTATACATGTTTGTGTATCAATTGAGGATTATTTTACAATGTTCTTATTGTAATTAAATATATATAATTATAAAAAAAATGTGTGCCTTTGAGTTCTCCCTCGTGTATCCATAAACACTTTTACGAGTCGAAGTTACAAACAGAAAATTATGTGAAGATGGCTGTCTTCTGGGTTGCTGTGGAAGTTTACCGACGTTTCGGAGGTCTTTACTGCCTCCATCATCAGGGCTACCACCACGGTCCTAAAAACCTCAAATTTTACAATCTCGATTCTGGGTTCTGAGACGTTAACTTTTAATATATTTTAAACTTGGTTATTTGAAGGTATTTTTTTTATTTTGTTTTAATAAGAAGGAGCTGCTTTTATTGTGATATTCTGTAATGTCATTTTACCGAGGACTTGGGAAAAAATAATAAATTGTAGACATTTTAATGAAATATATTTTTGTTTTAAAATGTCTTGTCACTTCAGACATTACGAAAACCACGCATCACATGCATTCGGAGTTCAGTGCCGATGTGATAAACCGATTCGTGTCTATAGTCCCATCCGCCCTGCTGAAACATTAACCTGATAAACGGGCAACATGTGGAAACATGAATAATGTTCTTTCCCAGGAAAGGCGGTTTGTGGTTGGCAGAACGGAAGAGACGGAAAGTGGGGGGGGGGATAATTATTTTAAGTGGAGTCACTCCACCTGACCACAGTGGGGCAATGCTCAGGAAAAACAGGTGCACCCTGGTGCCACAGTTGTGACGGCTTACCCTTCTGTTTCATTGAAATTGGCTTTCAAAATAACATGTGTGTCGACCGTTACAACTTGCATAATCGTAATTGTTTTGAATTACACCTGTTTCAGAACCTTATATGTCTTCTCGTTTATTTACTTACTTATTTTAAATACTTATTCGTTTATAATCTTTACTTGTTAGGTCTGCGCTGTTATGTATTGTTGTTAAAGTTTACGTTTCCAAAATTTTTATGTTTTTTTTGTGTGTCTCTCTCAGTTTAACTCGTGCGTTCTGTATAAAAATTATGAGAATGTTTTATAACTCTTATAAAAGCCACAGGGATAATTTAAATGTGGAAGGTCGGCGTGTTAAGCTTTTTTAAAAATGTCTTTATTGATTCAGTAATAAGTTCTGAATGAATATCGATTGTATCGATATTCATTCAGAAACAAAGTTTCCTGCAGTTTACTACAAAGAGCCAGTAGGGCGATCATATTTTATGAGTCGTATAATTCGGAAATTTGAATCACGGAATTAGCATATAAGAATGTAGCAGAGATTTGCAGTCAGATAGAACCAACGATAAACAAAGTTTACTACCTGGACAAATGGACGCTGTCCTCGGCGTGGATGTGAATTGTAACCGCCCACGAACGAAAGTGGGGCTTTTTCGAAGAATATGTTCGGACACTAAAAAGTTTTATTAAGTCTACCGGTCGTAAAATCCAATTCATCTTTTTACCGCCTATATTCCGTAGAATCCTTAATACGAGAACTGAATCAGTTTTATTAACGTAATGTTTTGAAACCAGTTAATGTGTGGCGTGTTGTCTAGATCAGTGGTATTCAACCTTTTTTGTTCGCGTACCCCCAGATATAATTTCTCTTCAACTTTGTACCCCCAAAGTTGTTGGTGTATAATTCAAGTTATACGTAGTATATAATCTACATCTAAAATAAATTAAATAAATTACATTACTGATTATTCAGTGTTTATCATAAATAATTTTTTTTTAAATTTCACGTACCCCCTAAGATTCTTCGCGTACCCCCGGGGGTACGCATACCCCTGGTTGAATACCACTGGTCTATATTGTTATAAACAGGCATTGACTCGTGTTACGTACGTTCAGTTGAAAAGTTACGTCTTGATTTCGTATCCTCACGGTACCTTTTAGTTAACTTTTCTCGTGTTTTACGTACCTAACTGTTTTTCAACATCCAATACAGAGTGTTCCATTTAAAACGCAGCCCTAATTACTACATATAAACCCCTTGATACACAAGTTCTGTTCAGACCTGCACATCTTTCGCGTTACTGGCGTGTTAACAGCCTATTGGTAGTCTATTACATGGGAGTGGACCTGCTTACAATATAATTTTTGTTCGTACTACGTTGTTGTTTTTGGGTTGAGTTTTAAATGTTACACGCTGTACTTTTTACAACTTTATTTAATTTTTATTATTGAATGATTAGCGTTCCTTTTGAAATTCGAACTCCGTTCAGATAATGTGTTAACGTAATGAGAAACACCTACACTCGTGTGGTGAATTTTAGGGTTCCGATTAATTATGCCATTTAGGTTTAAATAGTATTCGCTTGTTTTTTCAGACATCTGCAGATGTTAAGACATTGTTTATTAAAATTATTGTTCTTTCCACATCCCAGTCTCCAAGTTAATGTTATAGAATATGATAAATTAAATAATTAAATAACTAACTTCATGGCACAGAGTTGCTGTTGTTTTTAAGCCGATAAACTGCTAATGTATGCAAAATTCCTAGGTCGTGTGAGTAATCTGGATTTATTATTTATTTAGTGTTCTGTCTGACGACAGGTCCATATGAACAGGATCCTTCCATCCTTTTCTCGGACTGGGACCTGTTCATATACGTTCTTGGCAGATGATCCAGAAGTGGTTTGCCATTGCCTTCTTCTGTGTGTGAATGGAGTAATTGTTGGGATGCCACGGAGGAAAAAACTCCGTGTTGCCTAGACCACGGCCTTGCCCAACACAAGTTATAAATTCGGGCACCGCCGGGAGTCGAACCCGAGACCCCAGGATCACAAGGCCAGCGTTCTAACCGCTAGACCACCGTATATAAAATTGAAATTGTGGTTATGCCTCGAGAACAGATGCAATAATTTGCACCAAACTATGCACGCTTATTTGGTGAAACCAGGAAGAGATTTTAGGAAGGTGAAAACTCCGAAGAAATATCCTGTATTCGAGTCCAGCTGAGGATGGTTTCTGTAAGACGGAAATCAAGCAATATTGAATAATAGCACAAAGAAAAGAATTGCTGATTTCACCGAGTACATGACAGGAACAAAGATCATCGAACCGAAGGTGTCCTTTTTCTGAGTCCCGATTATGATGTTAGGTTTTGGGGATAACTTTTTTCTGTGATGTTTCACAATACGTGTCGAATGATAAGGCCTGTGTTCGGGGAATAAAGATTGTAAGGAATTATAAGATTTTGTCGAATTCTTTCCTGGCAGTAACACTGCTAGTGAAATTTGTGTTACAAATAATTTATGATTGATAAATGCAATACGATTTGCTTTCAAAAAATTATCGCCACTAAATTGATATCACGGTCACTGTGACATCCGAAATAGTAAAGAACACATTTGGAAAATACGTTTTCTCCATTGGGGCACAGCTTTCTACTCTTTTCCGTTAGGTAATGTACATTTCATTTTAAATCCACTCTTTCAGTCGTCCTACCAACATTGTCATGGTTCGTAGCGAGACATTTTCCTGGCCACGATGATAATTAATCTTGATCGGAGTTTGAATTTGCGCCGGGACAGCTTTTCGTGGGCAAGTCGTTTCACGAATGTTCAGCCACCGGAAGTTATAGAGGGGGAGTTTAAATCGCCCGGAACTAACTGCTTTCCGGTGTTCTTACGATCAAGATTTGTACTTGGACGAGGTATCGAGTACAACAGTACAACCAACATAACCATATAAAATAAATCCTGCTTATATTCATCTTATTTTCTTTGACTGTACGGGGCAAGTTCTTTGCATTAATTTGTGTTTAAATGGTGGAATTATACAAATGCAATGCGGCTGTACTTTCAAATCGCATTTTATCTACTTTATTTGATCGTCGAGCAGTTGACAGTATTTAGCGATGTTCTTTTATAGTAGGGATATCCAGTGTTGAAATTAATAGTTAGTTATCTATTAATCTCTCTCGATTCTCAGTATATCCTTGCGAAGACATGTACTGGAATAGTACATTAAAACTGGCCACGGCCACTTCCTTCTCAATTAGACGCGATAGAATATTGTAGTTAAATGCAATGCAAGTTTTTAGTGACTAAAACGTTCTAATAAACATTGAATCACGCGTGTATTAATATAAAACCACATATTTCATATCAGGAATCGTTGTTTAATATCATACATCATTCTCTGCGAGCTGGAAAACAATTGATTTTAGTGAAGGGATATTTATCTTCGTCATCTCATTTAGATTAGTCCTGGAGCTCAATGTATCCCTTATCCTTTGGGCATCGCGAGATCTTTTATTTATTTGTAGTATTCTGTCTGACGACAGGTCCATATGAACAGGATCCTTCCATCCTTTTCTCGGACTGGGACCTGTTCATATACGTTCTTGGCAGATGATCCAGAAGTGGTTTGCCATTGCCTTCTTCTGTGTGTGAATGGAGTAATTGTTGGGATGCCACGGAGGAAAACTCCGTGTTGCCTAGACCACGGCCTTGCCCAACACAAGTTATAAATTCGGGCACCGCCGGGAATCGAACCCGAGACCCCCAGGATTACAAGGCCAGCGTTCTAACCGCTAGACCACCGTGGTAAGGTCGAGATCTTTATCTGGGATTAAACTAGCCGGAGCGTGAGGCTAATCACTAACCTCGATTTATTATGGGGGTTAATAATGCCACTATTCCTAAAAAGCATAGGTCTTCGTGCATTTGATGATGTTTGGCAGTGATCACAATGGTCGTAAGATCTTCCTGTCACTGTAAACAGACGGACCTTAGGTCTGTTCCGGCTTCACACTTTGACGCCGTCTTTTCCTGCGTCGTCTCGCATTCCGACGCCCCTGATGATAATTTAATACGATCCTCCATTCTTTGCAGATGTTGGATCGTAAGATGGCTTTGCCAGAAAAACATAGAAACATAAATCGTGTGTCCATTTGAAGAATGTAGTTCCAGTATCAGCTCACTTCATGTTTTGATTTAACGGCGACTTAATGCAACTGTGTTAAATGATTAATTTCTGTCTCTCTCTTGTTTCAGCACTGGCTGGATCCAACAAAAAAGATCACCAAACAGCTCAAAGGTACGTCCATTATTTTTATAATATTGCGAACGATCTGTGTTGCACCTTACTTGTGTAATAGGGGGACAAACATGCCCTCTGTCGGTATGAAAACGTAACTAATGAGTAAGTTATGGCCACGTGTACTTATTCCGTCAGGTACAGTTGTATACCATTTAAAAAGCAACCCAACAATCACGCATTCACCGCCGCGAAAACCTCAAATCCTCACGAAAATGATGATAATTTCTGTACAACTTCGCATGGATGCATTCACAGATGTGCCCAGTTTTTAAAACGCAGTTTGCCAGCGATATTCGACGAAACATTTGAGCAGATAAATAAATTAATTTGAATTTATGCAAGAATTGTCGGACATAATCCGCATACAACAGATGTAATTATTATTTTGAACGTATGTTACTGCAGTGACTACAACAGTCTAGACCTGCATTCGGAGGTATCTGGTTCGAATCCGAGTCACATTACTCGCTGACTGTCTTCTGGATTGCTACTCCGCGTTGTCTGTTAGAAGTTTATCGACGTTTCGTATGTTTTTCCTGCCTGCCATTAGGCTTACCTGTTTAGTGGTTAAGAAAGAAAGGTTTGCTAGGAAGATTTTGGAACTGCGCGTACCAAGGAAATTGATTAGTCTTTACATTAATCCCGCGAATATGCATCATCTTCGTTTATATTACAAAGAAGTTGATGAAGCAATGAGAAGTATTATTATTTGATATATAAATTCAATTTCCTTGGCTAAATGATAAATTATATCAGCTGGAAACAGTACGCAATACTTTAGAACCCCGGAGACTTGATATTAGCGATTTCCAAAGTCTTATGCTGTATGTCTTAATTCCTTAATTGGTTTTCGTATTCTCTTATCCCTAAAACCATCCTCTAATTAATCCCTTCGCTGCTTAGTACGACTATAATTGCTCTGCTGTAAGTCCTCCGTCCGCTCAGCCTGAAGATTATGTTGCACGCAACGCTGCGACTATGTGACTGCTAGAGAGACGTACACAGCTAGAATTTCTAATCTCGAACGAGCGAAACAGATGAAGGCTGGCAAGCGGTGTACGTTTATTTTTTTTTATTTTTTTTGAAAGCAAATGTATTCTGAGTCGATTTTCGTGTTTTCTGAGAGAGAGAGGTTAGGATAGCTCTGTTCGCTGGCTTCAAAATAAGACACATTTTGAATATTAATAATGTAATATACGTAAGTTATGTTACTCAACAGATGTCTCGTCTCGTAACAACACTGCAGTGTTTGGGGTCCACATGTAAACAATCTGAAAGTGTTTGGTTTGTTTCTACTAATGGTTTTGTTGGCTTGAGTGTGTTACGTGCATTTTCATGCTGAATGTGTATGGCTTGCCGCGTAGAATTTTCTTCAGTGGAAACAATTAGACTCCACGAGTAAGTAAACAAGGTAAAGAGGCAAGCGATTGTGGACCTAATGAACAAAGTTACTAAGGGCTTTACGTGCAGTGGGGGATAGAGTGAATAGATATTTAATTCGAGGAATGTCTCTTGGGTAACAGCGACTTATACCTAGAAGGTTGATTGATTTAAATCTTTACTTATTTAAAGACGCTGCTTCACGTACAGAAGTTGTTTAGAAGATGGCTGGTAGGTAATATTTGGAAGGAAGGAACCATGACATATTTTAAAATTCTGTCTTGACATTCGCGTACAAGGACTGAGAAAAACGACTAGAAACCTCAGTTAGGAGATGGGTCAATATTCCTCACAGAGTTACTGCTACACCACGTAGGAGGATAGTGGGAGGTGGGAGAGGTTTGTTTTGAGTAGGTTTAGGAAGGGCTTTGGGCTGTAAACCGTAGGTTATTTAATGACGTTCTACTAACTGCAGCTGTTGTTCAACATCGAATTTTGGCCTAGATAGCAGGATGAAGATCGCTGTCTTGTGGGATTTTTCGCAGTGTAGTATGATAGAAATTTAATTTTACGAAAAGTTGTGTATTTACAAAGGTTGGTAATCGTGGGTTAATCACTTCACGCAGAACTGAAGTCAGTAGTAATAGGGCCTACACTTTTTAAGTTTAAAAAAAAACAGTGAAATGACGGACCTAAATTAGGAGTCTCGAGATTGGATATAGTGAAAAGGTTTTGTAGTCAACTTAAAATTTTATTGAATGAAGTGACCTAATGAACATTGCCAACAATTTCTGTAAAATAGAACGTGAAATGTGATAAACAATATGTAAACATGAACATTGTATACAGACAGTAATTGAAAAAAAAATAATTAAAACAGCGCCATGAAGATTGCAGCTATAATGTTCTCGAAACTTTAGAAAGCTTTCCACATTTGACGCCGCTCACACAAAAGTTTTACACCGCAGAAAATCTCAAGTCTCCAGAAATCCTTAGAAAAAAAGAAATGGTCTGCATTCTTATGGATGCAGTACGACTTCATACCAATGAGTTCAGAGACATCTGACGACAGCTGCTGTAATTAAGTATGCTCTGCCCACGTTTCATGATACAGGGTGTTTAAAAGTATCGACATTGTGTTCAGTTAAAAGAGTAGCTTATATTATTTGAAACCGATGCTCGTCTGAATGACGTCTGAGAACTATTCTTCACTGTTACAAAAATAAATTTCTTCAACGCCGTTTAAGGAGGCAATCCAAGTTTACACAGAGAATCTTAAATACAAAATTCAGTGTTACTGATTAAAACAGATGGTACATAAATAGGTAGCTTCTGAAGTAGGACTCTGCTCTGTGCAGTTCGACTACGAATATATTGCCCCCCTGCCTCCAGCAGCCAACTTGGGGTTACAACCTTATCCCTTAGATGAGGCTTCATTTTTGACCTTGAATGAACGGAAGAGAATTACAAATGTTCCCCGAGCAGGTTTAAAGAGGCCTCGCCACGTTTTAGTTTACATATATCTGGTTGTAGTCACAGTTTTTCTGTTACGAGGTTTGAAATCGATAAACTGTCATCGTGTCCAAATCAATTTGAATCTGTACGCATTTTAAGATTTTTGAAAACTGTTATTCTTCATGTTACAGGAACCGATCCGTTCACGTTATATTTTGGGGTAAAATTCTACGCGGCCGACCCCTGCAAGCTACTGGAGGAGATTACCAGGTAAGCCACGATTTATTTTTATTGTGTCTGGACGTAGGATAACATGCTGTTAGCTTGTTACACTTTTCACAGTTCTTCTTGGAATGTATTTGGTTACGTTTTAAACAACTTTACCACGAAACAGGCTACTTTGAAGAATTAAATGTTATACTAAAGTTTTCGGAACGATCTCACACAAAAAAAAATTACGAATTAGATGGATTTTACATTTGAAGCATAAATAATTTATAATTATTTGCATGCGGATGTCTAAGATTTAATGCCGTGATTGGACCGGCGCTCAAGTTAAAGGCTTTAAAGATCTCTTCGAAATGATAAGAGTTAGTGCCGTGATTGGACCAGTGCTCAAGGTAAAGGCTTTAAAGATCTCTTCGAAATGGAGGAGGAGATTTGAGGTTCTGAAGGCGGCGAGCATGAATATGGCTGTCTTCTGAGTTGTGTCGTGTAGTCTGGTTTATGCCTCAATCATCCGGGCTTGGTGATGGAAGCATAAGTGCCTCTGAAACGTCGGTAAACTTTAAACAGACTATACACGGCGCAACATCTCAGAAGAACAACGCACTAGAGTTACGTAGAGGATGAAATGAACTTCAAGACGTTGTATGTCATTCGTAGTAATGAACGTGGTTAAGGAAGACACGTGTTGTTTGTTCTGAAGATGTTATTTTCAACTACTGTAAAGGTTGAACCGAGTTGATGGTTGGCACGCCTGTATCGTATTCGTGGGGGGAAATACCGACTTCTAGTCTGTCCTGACAGAGATTATTGATAGTTTTCCTTAGTCCCTCTGGCCGAAATACCAAGATAGTTTCTTAAATTTGACCACCATTGCATAATTCCATTTTAATTTAGTTAATTTATTATTTGTCTGGGTAACTGATAGTGTCTTTAAATTAATAAATCGGAAATAACGTTGCCATTATCGTGTTTTCTGATATACAAGGAGAAATGTTACGCTGAGTTGTCACGCCCTGACCTTGATCGGCGTTGGGAAATCCAAACACACTCGAGTTGTAGGATCTCTGTCTTCGAGGGATATTTTCGCCATGGACAAGATGTTTTATGTTGTAGATTATTTTCCACGAAAAATGCTACGAAGAATAGTTACAGTCTAGTTGGTTTTTTTTTTCTAGAAGCTTCGTATTTGAAAGTAAAATTTCCCAAATTTCATTTTCCGCTGCTTGTCTAACATTGTCCACTTTAACTCGGAACAGAAGTAGCCGTTACCATATTGCATGCTACAAGGTCACAGAGTAACGAACCCACTACCCCATCTTCATGGCGAAGCATTGTATTTCTCAAAAACGATGGTGTCTACATAAAATTTTCAGATGAAGACTGATTTTCGTGGTATAGTACGTAAAGATTGACATGATTTTTTACAGCATTAGCTCGTCACAAACTAGAAATTAAAATATTATTCAGAACACGTCAGCTGATTTTCACAACCCACCTTCCATGACCGTCAGTTTAACAAATAAATTTTCACTTCGTTAAGTGAAAATGTATTTTTATTTTGTAACTGCGAGTAATGATAGTTTTTAATTTTGGTCACTGACGCCAAGTACACTTCTATGTTGTTACCAACGTTTCAGAGTAAAATATCACCAAAATAAAGAGACTACCCTGAAGATGGAGGTGATATACTCCTACTGAAACGTTGGTAACCACGTAAGACATATACTTATTCTTATCGAGGCTTCTCTTCGTAACCATAAACGTGTTTCATGAAATGTTTGATTTTTATTTCGTCGTAATATTATAATTAGCCACGGAAACATTGCAATTAATTGATTTACGCAGGTTTTCAAAACATCACTCCCACACTTAATTCTAAAGTCGTTCGACAGGAATCACAAACTCAGTAAGCCATCTATATATCCACAGTTGTCTTTTGTCCTTGAGAAATTATGTCGTCTTTAAGACTGTGGTATATTTTTCATGTCAGGTGCATGTGGGTTAACGTAATTGGTTCAAGGACTTCGTTCTCTGTTTGCACTAGAAGACTTTTTTTTAATTTATGTGGATACGTACTGTTAAATTATCCACGTATGTTCCTTTTATGAATTCTAAGCACCTATTAATTTCTTTTTTTGGAACGTGCGGAATAACAAAGTAGTTTTAACATATAATTTTATAAGTGTAATTTAAAGAATTACAGGTACCTCATAAAATAAGTTTATTTTATAGACGCCAAGTCAAATTAAGTTAACCGATCCTAAGTCTGCAATATTTTAGGGATATTTTATTGTAAATACTTAATATCTGCGATCGATACCATTAAAGTAGCAAGTACGTTAACCAGAAGTGGGCATGACCTAGTTAACAGCATATTAATGTACGTACTATCCCTGTATTTAACTGGATTGACTGAGAAGGAATAAGAATATTCTGTCATTGTAGTCTCCGGGCTCAGGAATTAAAACCCTGTACGTCCGGAATAGGAATAAGTGTTTTAAAAGTGACGTGTTGTGGTTACGTCTGAAGAAAATCAAGTTTGTTTTTCTCATGCCTTGTGTTTCTTTTTGTAAGCGTCTATGAATGTAAAATAAAATTTGCCTAATTCCGGTACATTTTAATATTATCATATGCAAATATCAGGAGTTCCGACAGTAAACCTACGTTGGTAAGAATTTTTAGCTTGTTTTAATTACAAGTAAATGCTTAAAAACGGATTTTTCGCAAAGTTATGGCGGTATATTTGTTAATATGACCTAAAAAAAAGATGGAGTAACAAGACACTTACGTAAATTTGTGTACATTACTGTATATGTTAAGTACAGATTTAACTGAGTGGCTAGAATTTTTTTACGCTGTTTGAGATACTTTGTTCTCAAGTGAGATGGGGTCCCTTTCGTAAGCTCTCTGTACAGAGTCCTCTTCCCCGTCTAGGTTTTAACCAAACGCAGGGCACGTCGAAGTATAGTGCGTTCACTAATAAATTTCATCAAAACTAAATAAGTAGGATTTGAGGATCTATTGGCGGTGAGTACGAAGTTTGCCGTCTTCTGGTTGTGGCGAGTACTGGTTATTGTGGTGTGTGGATATGGTTTGATACGTATATTGTTGAACAGCGTGTTTTTCGGTACGAATCATATATGAAATGTGGTTCTGTTAGAAAGTGAGAGAGAAATTGTTTGTTCGTAAATTTCTCATGATCGCGGTTCGTGGGACGCAGACATTCTGGAAGTTAGTAATGCCAGGTTTCTTAGGGGCCACTTCTGGCTAAGAAACGTGTCGTGTTCTTTCCGAAGAAAATGTAGATGAAATGAGGGCTGTGTTACAACACGACCACAGAAATCATTGATCGTTGAGACAAAATTATCAAAAATTGAAGGCGACTAATTAATTTCAAGCAATTCGCACGATACAGATTTTTTTTGGGTGCACAGGAACGTCATTTTCAGCATTTCTACAAAAAAAGTAAAATTGATTTCATTAGATGGTAAAGTTGCGTCATATTGTGATATAATAAATATATATTGTTTAAATCTTGTCCGTCTAATCACAATAAATTCTTATAAAATATTAAAATATTACAATAATTAACATTTAAAATATTAAATTATGTTCTTTATCGAAATATTCGATTTACATTAGACCATATATTTTTTTTTGATTTCATTGTTTTGTGGAACAATGCTTGACTTTTATCGGGAAAATTTTGTAGCTCTTGGCGATGAGTTATGCAGTTCCTGCAGGAAGCCTGGAAGTGACAGTTGCGTTCTGCAAATGGCTTATCATCTCATCTGATAAGCCTACGACGATGAAAATGTTTTAAGTAGTGCTATGTCGCGCGTGGCCTATTTGGCGATCCGGTGGCAGCAGCCCGCTCACACGTGATGACAGTGCACTCTACGAGTTTATTAAGAGCATGTAATGTGTATCAAGAACATGCTTTAAGCCATGTTAATTCGAAGTAACCCATTTTGGCGTCGCCACATTTGGTTACGTGAACATACGTAATGACCCCATTATATTAAGGCAGATTTCTTTTGAAAGGAAGTCCTCACTACCTTTCATTTCTCCCAGTGACTGATATTAATTTCTTTTTGTTAAGATTTTTTTTTCTCGAATGGCCTTTCCTTCCTAGATTCTGTTGGACCGAAGTTACCATAATCTTAGTGGTTTGTTCTTACTGCCTTGTGAACACTTTGATGTGATGTATAAAGCATAAATCAGTGCATATCATCAATATTGAAAATTCTTTGCTTTAGTATTCAGTCTGACGGATAGCGTTGTTACTCTACAAACGCGAAGTAGTATGTGATACAGGGTGTCGCACGAAATGACACCCGTTTGCAAGTTTAAATAAAAAGCTTTAATATTCATATGATGTTGCACAATTTATGAAGATTTATCCTTTATGGGTTACGTGTTCGTTATGACCGACGTTCTTTCGTGAAATTTTACCACAAATTTGATCACTCAAAGCCCCGAGTTGCATTACAGAGGCTGGCTTTTTTTGGAAAATGTTCTTCATTTAGAAAAACCCCAAAGTAAGAAGTCGCAGGGGTTTATGTCGAGGTGTTTGGTGGCCACATCTGTCCCAGCCATGGCATAACGAGCAGGGTGACGCACGAAAAGGGTACCGTATTTATTTTAACGGTACGTGTTTCGGAAATTTTACGAAAGAACGGTGGTCGTACTGACCATGCAATGCACAAACGATAAATCTACACGATTTGTTCTTTGCGTTCATGGTTACGTTTGTACCATTGTATGAATGTTGAAAAGCTTTTATTTGAAGTTTCAAACGGGTGTCGTTTCGTGCGACACCCTGTACATTGATGGATAAAATGCCTGTTCTGTTTGGCTCATACTGAATACGACATTTAAAAGACTCACTCGTCTCTGCGAGTTATTGAAAATAATTCTTTATTCCCGTTTGTGAAAGGAAAGTGGAGTAGGTGTATTTTTGGACGACGAAAATAATTAAATCGTGCAATGATGAAGATGTAAGAGACCCGCTGATAGTTATGGAACGGACTGTAGAGGGC